TGTGACCTACATTATAGCTGGAAAATTTGGCAGTCTAAAACTTGGTGGTTTTGCATCAAAATTGCCTAAATATAGTACTGATTGTTTTTTAATTTGGCAATTTAATATTTTGTCTTTACTTTGAGTACTCTCAAGTTTTATTGAAGCTGCTGCTTGCCCACAATCTTGACTAAAATACTATATAACTGGTTATTTTTGAGGGTTGCAAATTTCACAGATTTCTTCCTGATTAATGGCACACGTGGTAAAATTCGCAAATTTAAATCTGCAAATTAGAATTTTAGTAGATTTCACGAAATATATAAGACCCACAAAATCACCAACTATATATATATGTATATAAACACAGTGATTTGGTATTTTTTTGATATTACAATGCTCATGATGGAATCTGCCCAATGCAATTATTATTGATGGTTATAATATTGGCTGTTACAATATTGGTGGTTTTTATTTTGACCCACCAATCTGCAAAATTTAATTCTCCACCAAATTTTCTGGCTATATGGTATATCTGCATGAGCTTTAGGTGCTATCAGCATAGATATTATACACGGAACAGGATTGGAAACAAGGATCACGTGAGTGCATTATGCATTGAAATCAACCTAGTTTGCCGGGAACTGGTTAATTTGTGGTTATTAAAAGTAATTCCGTAATGGAGATAAATGGAGATTGTTAGAGTTGTGGGACGTTCTAGACAATACCTGGCAGTTTTATTATGACAAGGTATCTAGCTCTATGGCTACTTCTTAACATCCTACAATGGACTAAGATGTTTGTTTTGGTGCGCATCTGTTAGTTTGAGAGTAATGGCATCCTGGCTTAAGATCCCTTTGTTTTAGCACGCCATAACTTTTTTGAAACATTGTTTCCAATCCTGTTTTGTGTATAATATCTATGCTATCAGCTATAGTACTAAAGCTAAATATTTACACAAAATCAAGTAATATGTAATAGCTCATGTTTTAAGTTTTGTAGGACCATTTTATGATATGCCATGTGATGTGGGCCATATCAATTTTTTCTCCTGGTGCTATGTAGGACCATTTTATGATATGCCATGTGATGTGGGCCATATCAATTTTTTCTCCTAGGGGTGCTATGTATTCTGTTGGCAGTCCTTGTCCTTATGTCAAAAGATTCTTAGATACCAATCATATCCATAAATAATAACTCATTAACTTCTTTTACATTTTTGAAAGGTAGAGAAATGGTTTCAAAAATTGCTTTTAAAAAACTTATCAGAGTAAAAAGCACACATACCACTGTATCAATTAGACACTATTCTACTGTCAGAAAAGCTCAAATGAGAGTCATTATAAGGCAATACAAAAGTTTGCTATAGTCATGCAGATCATTGCATGCAGCAAAATAGTTTAATTGTGAAATTTGAGTGTTTTAACTAGTTTTATAGCAGACTAGTCTCGCTATAGCCAGACCATTCCCCAGCCTACAGCTGGGGAACTGGTCTGGCTAGTGAGACTAATAGCAGACATATTTGTATCATATAGAGGTGATCAAGACATTTAGATGGCATCATTAGCCTAATAATTTTATACTTGCAGTTATTATAAATGTAAAACTTGGATGAAAACGATTAGATATGAATTTATGATGATTCTTTATCAATTTCACATCCACTTCCTTACGTCCCTTTTTGGTCACATCCATGCCTTATATGTGATACATGTATAATTCTTAATTACAATTAATGTTTAAATTATAGCTCATAATGAGGAACAGATTAACAAGCTTAAAGAGGTTGTATTATCACTTGAGAAGAAAGTTTCAGGGTTAAAAAAGGAACTGGTATTAATATTTGATCAAATTCTAAAAGAAGGTATGCATGTATAATGCCTAAAATTTTAAGTTATTTTATTATTTCAGGAGAGACATCTGGAATTATTTCAATATTTCCTGATAATGTGTATCTCTTTAGTCCATCGGCAAATCACTGTAGGGCAGTGATTGGTACACTGGAGGACTCACATCAACTGGTTAACTTGAGCTATTCATCGTCTGATATTGTTCTGATGCTAGTGCCAAAGCTGTTGAGTTTAAAAACAATTGAAATGCTTACCATAGAATATACTGGTTTAACCCATGAATGCATCCTTACCCTTGCATCCCTCTTAGCAAGAAATGATTCGTTAAAAGCACTATCTATCAATTATGATTCCATTGGAGATGATGGTGTCATAACACTAGCAGAATCTTTGAGGAATAATGGGTCACTCCAATGTCTATATCTTCATGGGAATGGTAACATAACCTCAGCCAGTATTGGCTCACTGGTTGAGCTTTTACATTACAATGATTCACTTTCAGCACTCTCTGTATTCCAAACTGGCATTGGTACTGATGGAGCATTGGCCTTAGTTGATTGTCTCACAACTAATGGGAAGCTGAAGCTTGCACTGGATGTACGGCATAAACATGCATGCCACAGTTATGAAAATATTAAAGATAGAATATCTTTTCTAGAAAATTTAGAAGCTGATGATAAATTCTTTTGTTAACTTGTATTTCAAAGCTAATGAAGCTAGGAAACATGACTTTGTCAACCATGATACATGTTAACTTCACTAGCCAATGTACCATCATATACTATGGTGTCATTGAGGCTGAACA